TTCAGTAATTTACTTCTCTTTATAGTACAAAAATTTTCATGAATCTCAGAAGAATATTTATTTAATCGTCTCTGTGAAAACACAAATTTAATTTTAATAATATGAACGTCATAAATCATTTGAAAGTTAAAGAAAAAAATTTGTTTTGTTTATATTGCTTTATATAATAACTTGCTATGCATAGGATTTTTTAACCAAAAATATTAACCAAAAATTTTATGTTATGAAATTTTAATTATAAAATTACAATGTACGTTTAAACTTTAAAATTAAAATATACTTTACAAGAGGTATGAATTTTCACGTTACAACTTTTCGCAAATCAAGTACTTTCTATTTTATTCAACTACATTGTGCGAGAAAATAAGTTCAGTTTTCAAACTGAGAGTTTGAACTGAAGCTTTTCCCGTAATTATCCCGTTACGGTATGTATGAAAAAATCAATCAGAGAACTCTTATAAGAGTTCTGGATTCGTTGAATCAATCAGGTATCGACAGGTAATAACGAAAATTTAGTAGTCGTTCGGCTAAATTCTCGCTAAGTAGTTCAATTGGCTCTAAGTAGATCAGTCAGGTAACAACCGAGACTGACCCATCACGCATGACTGTCACTCTCGCAATAAATCGGTCACCCGCTCCATTGTTAGCATAGAGGTAGCTTACTCCAGTATGTATGGAACTCATCGAAATTAATCGGTCGTAAAATTTGCAAATGCACATTCCGACAACGTATTCTCGAAAAAAAAAAACAAATCGATCATAATGATCGCGACACGATAATTGAGGACATGGATCGAGCATTTAATCCCATTGGGTACATACAATGCTATTCTCAAATCTTGTAGAATCGCGGTCCCGTGCAAAACAAGCGGCGTGAAATAACGTGCACCCAACTGGGCGAACACCGTTTACAAAGTTTTATTAATCTAATTGTGTACAGCGCCGATAAAAGCGTTCCCCTGTTCGGCACGCGATTAAACGTGCAGCGGATAGACGATGGCAAGAGAGAGAGAGAGAGAGAGAGAGAAGCGGGGGGAGTGAAAGAGTTTCGCATGCTGAAATATAACTTTTAACAAATTACAAGAACTGGCCAAAAGTAAACCGCATCGCGGTCGCACTATTTTGCAGAGAGGACAATAATGCACGTCCGAGTGTATTTAATTTACTTTAAATCGGTCAGTTGCGTGATCGGGATAAGCCCACTTACGGATAATTAATACGCCACCATCTACCGACCGTGTGCGTTATTGCTAATGTTTACCGAGCTATTTGGGGTGAGCATAATTTAATTATCGCTCATCTTCCGCCACTCTTTTTGTTATTACACGTGTTATCGCATTAGCAGCAGATTACTTCCCACCGATTTAACTGAACGATATAAAATTTATAAAATGAACTTTCTAAGAGAGTTTCTAGAGATCTTAATCCTATTTTCTCTTCCTTTTCCAATATTAAAGAAAAAAAATAAAGTTTTCGATGTATTTATTTATTATTATGCATTGTCAATGCATAATATAGATAAAATAGTTACAGTAATAACACGTGTAACATGTTATACATTTTTATATTCCCTATGTCTATCACTTTCAATCTTTTAATATTCAGCAATTGTTTAGCTAATTTAAATGAAGGCAAATAATTATATAATTAAAGAATCAAATGTTTGACTAATATTTCAATCAGCGATAATACATTAAGATGAGGAAATACTACAATTATTATCAAAATAACTATTAAAATTGAAATAAAACTGTTAGACTTTAAATCGATATGTTTGAAGTTAGATACGTATAGCAATTTGTATACAGAGTTGCGTTTTATTCTAAAATGTTTTATTCATTTATAGATTCTAATGAATTAAAAGTCGATGTTTTACTAAGAAACTTGTCGAAATATTATCCTTTGATTATACTTTAATTTATTTTCAATTTTAAACTCATAAATAATACTTACTAATAAGTAATTAAACATTATATTAATACTCAAGCAAGGTCCATTAAGATTACGTGAAGAAGAAAATTATTTGCATTTCTCTGTAACAGCCAATTCGCTGCTTAAACTTTAATTTTGAATCGTTTGTAATTAAAAAAGAAAGTCTTTATGAATTTAGCTTTTAGAAGCCTCTTCTTATGTCTTAAATTTCCGATAAAATGTCAATGTTTGCGCATGCTGCTTGTCTGTATATGTTTCATATGCAGTATTTGTATACCATACAAAGTTAATTTAACGCTAGTACATTGAAGAGTTAAAGACGATAAGGGTTCGATAAGAGATAGCTGATAGGCAGGTATAATGAACGAGGTACTAATGAACAAGAGGAAGAGATGTTTGACGAACACCACAAGACTATCCTACGACTGATTTGCAAACCGTCATCGCATACAATGCGCAGGGTCCTAATCAGAATTTATGCGACTAAGCCAAGCGGAAGTGGCCGATGCATATGCATCGGATGTAATGCGTTTGCTTAGTTTCCGGAGGGGACACGATGGCGGTTCGTCGATGTTTACAGACCAACCGCAAGATTTCGGATCTTCATGATACTCTGGACAAGTCGTCGTGTCCTCAGAAACTCAGATCTCTCGCCCTCTGCTCTTCCATCTCTCGTGTCTTCATCGTTTTATGCGGCGAGCGTTAATTGATTCTCACACTAAGACACTTGTGTCTTATGGTTTGACAGTGTCTCGTAAATTTCCGTCGTTTCTGCACTTGCAAGGATTGACATTAATGACGTTGAGGCACTTTGAATTTGATAATAAAATCATTGCATCTTAACAAGAAATATAAGAAAATAAAATCGAGCCCGCATGACATTAACATTCAACTCCTATGGTCTAATTTTTTTACAGTTTTTGATAAAATAACGTTATGATTAAAAAAGATAATAGAAGATGATAACATTTATCTTTTTATTAAAGCAAAAATAACTTTATTTTTAGAAAAAAAAATATATATATATGTATGTATATATATATATATATATAATTTATTGTAGTAATATTATTGATCAATTATTGAATATCATAGTAATATTTATGTAAACGCTGTATGATACGTTTTGCAATTGTAAAAAGAAACAAAAAATAAATAAGAACACACACGGAGAGAATTTTTTCTTAGAGCTTATCTAGAAAATATGATAGTCGTGGGACAACATTGTATTTCCAAGAATTTTTTTTAATGTAAATCTTTCTCATTTATTAATAAAACTACAATAAAATAAAATAAATTTAATTAATTTTACTGAAGTGCATGGTAAAAATCTTTAAAATATTGTATTGTACCACAACTACCATATTTTCGGGCTAAATTTTAAAACAAAATTCTCTCCGTGTATAATATACTATTATCTATTCCTAAATAACATACTACATGCGCACTAGATGCAAAAGTATAATCATAAACAACATAATGATTGTTAAAATGCATGACGATTCTATATCGAAAAACACCAAAGTTACATTACCTACTTTGAAATATTTAATAAGCCTGCCATTATTATTATAGATTGTACCATATAATAAAGGCTTTTAAAAATCATATATAGGGAATATCCCGAATTTAAATGGCCAAACTTTTGAAAAAAATTTAGGAAACTACGCTTTAGAAAATTTTTGTTGAATCTTTGAATTTTAAATAAAATATCAATGTTTATACATATTATTCATCGCACGTATTTTGTATAATTTACAAGAGCAATATAATGCTCGTAGTAGATTGGTGAGTTAAAGATGATAAGGCAGTTGATAGGCAGGTATGATGAACGAGGTTACAAATGAACAAGAGAGAGAGGTGTTTGACGAACACCGCAAGACTATTCTATGTCTGATTTGCAAATCGTCGCCGCATACAACGTGTGAGGTCCTAATCAGAATTTATATGACTAAGACAGCCGGAAGTGGCCGACATATATCGGCATCGGATGTAACGTTTACTTAGTTTCCGTTGAGGAGATGCGACCATGCAACTGTGGTCCATGAACGTTTATAAAGCAGCCACGAGATTTCAGATTCTCTATAGTGGTTGGTATTCCTTAGGAGCTCTTACCCTTCGCTCTCTCATCTCTTCGTCATCATTTTCTGTGGCGAGTATTAATTGATTCTCACGTGAGACACCATTTCCTTGGTTAACAGTATCTCGTAAATTTCACCGTCATAAGGATAATAATAATGGCATTGAGTCGCTTCAAATTCGACGATAAAATCTCCGCGACGATAAAATAGCAACAGTAATAATATAAGAAAATAAATCGAGCACGCGTTACATTATTTAACATTATTGGTATCCCACACTCAGATCTAATTTCTTTCGCTTGCAATTTTTGACAAAATGATCGTTATGGTCTGACAGGATATAAAAATAATAATAATATTTTTATTTTAACGGTAAAGCAAAAATAATTTTATCTAGGAAAACGTGTCAGTACTAAAAGAGATTTAAGAAATTGCATTTAACATTCAGCGTATATATTATAATTAATTTATTGTACTAATATTATTGATTACTATAATTATTGAATACTATAATATAATATTTTATGTAAACACTGTGTAACACGTTTTGCAATTGCAAAAAACAGAAGATGGATAAAATTACGCTATTTTCTATCTCTAAAAATAGGAATGAAATGATAAGATAATATACTACTGTATATATTGCAAAAGCATAATTATAATAAGACATTGTTAAAATGCAGTTCTATACAGAAAAACAACAAAGTTACATTATTTCGAAATATTTAATAAGCCTGCATTATTGTTATGGATTATAGATTATAATGAAGGCTTTTAAAAATCATATATATATATATTGGGCCGAGGAAAACTATAAACTATGTAATGTTCTGCAAGCGATCACTATTAAGTCGTGTATGAAATACATTTTTACCAATACTATTCATTTTCATTATTTTATTGAGTGTAATAATATAAATAAAAATGGGATATTTTCCGTTCGTTATATTAATATTGTCGATAGCAACTATCAGCTTTGGTGTCAAAATGAAAATCGTGTACAAATGGAAATATCTAGATTATGTTTGGGATAATCCGGAGCATAAGGAAAACGCAATAAATTCTAGCAATTATAACGTTAGCACGTGCTTTTTAAACGATGTAGATAAAGCAGATGGTAGGTTAATAGTAAATTATTCTGAATATATTATTATGAATTATACATATATATATGCCTATATATACATTAATTATATGTTCAATATACATATATTTTATTATACATATTATTTCGATATTGCTAATATAACTGATAGCATTGCTATTTTACATTGAAATTCGTGATATAAGCATCTTTCTTAATAATAAAGAATCTTTCTTAATAATAAAAGAATAAATTCCATTAACAAATCAAACTTTTGCAGACGGTAGAATATTTGCTACTGTACCAAAAATGTTCAATTTTGCTGTGCCAGCTAGTGTAGTGACAGTCAGTGATATAATAGAATCAGGGGGTCCACTTTTACATCCTTATCCAGATTGGTCTTGGTATAATAATAGTAATATGTGTGATAATATTGTAAATGTTTATATGATTCACGTAAGTACTGAGTAAATGTTTATACGATTCATATAAAATCTTTCATCCAAATGATTATTATATCTTACATTTATAAACTTTCTTATTAAAATAGCCAACATAATATCATACTTTATACACATTTATTCCCATACACAATAATATTATCAGTTTGGTGACTATTTGTGTGTGAAATAAAATTTTTACTTTTACCTCAGATTAAATGCAATCACATCTTCATTCTGGATAACGGCTACGGATCTAACAACGAAAGTTGTGATCCAAAACTATTGATTTTTAATTTAGAAAATAATATGCTAGTTAAGACTATTATCATCTCACCTAACGTCGCTACTAACGAAACTGGTTCTGGATTTTTAATGACACCTTTTGTTTACCTTCCCGAAAAATGTGAATGTAATCGACTACTGAATGAAATGATTGTTAGTATAATCTTTTTTTGATAATTGTTTCATGTTTTTTTGGTTACAATAAAACTCGCCATACTGTATTTGTTTAAATATTATTTAGTTCAAATACGTTTAGTAATACATTTCGTATTCTAAAAATTTAAGTTATTCAACATAAATATAAATACACACAGGTGTTTATATCCGACATGATAGGTTCCGGTTTAGTGATTTATGATTCATCTAAAAATAGTTCATGCAGAGTTGAATCTGATTTTATGGGAGCGACCGACTACATTAATATTACCATAGCAAACCAAACTGTACCTTTTATGGCCGGTATATATGGTTTGACAACTATTCGCGGCGGCAAGTATTTATTTTTTATTCATTATACAAAAGATATTGTTTCAATTATGTCTGAATTTATTACACATGATACATATTAAGAGTTTTAAGTGTAACCTTAAAGTAATTACTCATACTATTTGCATTCACAATTTTTTCTTTCTATTATATTTATATATTAACGTTGCATATACATATATAAAGCATAGAAGACTTTTCTGTAAATTGTTATATTTCTTTCATTAATATTTTAGACCTTTTCTATAATCCTTTTACGGAGAAAAAAGTATATAAGATGAAAATAAAGAAGCTACTAAAATGTCCAGATAAAGAAACGGCAAATAATCAAACTAAACTTGTGGGTGAATTATCAATTCAGACAGGACCATTAGCGTCCACAAAGTGTTCACTCTTTTTAAGCAATTATCTACAAAATTCCATTCAAGGCACGAACGCTTGTAAAAAATTTTATCCTAAGGATATGGTGAGATATTCGAATGGAATTATTTTCTATATCGTTTATAACAATTTATTTTAATACTATCTTATTAACGATAATTTGTGTATTAATAATAATAGTTTCATCTTTGTAAAATGAAATGATTTTAAGGTGGTCTTTGCACAAAATGACAAAAAGTTGCAAATTGTAACTGGAATGAAAGCTCTACAGCATCATAATGAACTGATGGCGTTATCAACTATGACGTATATTACTTACCCTAATGGTATAAATCTAAATAAGACAAATTTTTTTATTGTCAAGTTCAATTTAACTGAAATACAAAAGAAAATAGATTCTAATGCTTGTACCAAATCAGATTTATATGATGTGATATTATAAGTATTATGTATAATTTTAATATATATAGAATACATAATGTAGAAGACGAACTTAATGTATAAAATGTAATTAATAATAAATGTATGTATAAATAAATTAATTTAGTTTATTTTTCGGGTATCAAATTAATTTCAGTTCTTGATAATTAAATAAATTTTAATTTTTGATTTATCTTTTATATTAAACAAATTGCAATAACATGTTCTCAAAATTAAAATTTACAAACATTTATTTTTGATTTTAAATATACCAGACATAGACGCGCACGCTATAACTTATTCGAGCACGCACTACATTATTTAACAATACTGACATTCTACATCCAGATCTAATTTCTCTCGCTTGCAATTTTGACCAAATAATTATTATATTAGGTGTTGGAATTAATTCGTAGCGTTTTTTAATGAAAGAATGTTATTTATTTCACATGAGCATTAAAAAATACATTAATGAAAGTACTTTTAAAACTTATAAATACTTTGTAAAACGCTACGAATTAATTCCAACACCTAATAATATAATTTGAAAGAATATTTTTATCTTAATGATAAAGCAGATGTAATTAAACTTATCTAGAACACACTTATAGAATTAAATTTAAAGGATTGCATTTAACATACAGTATATATTTTAATTAATTTACTATAGCATTAATATTATTGATAAATGAATATTATAATATATTTTAAACGCTGTGCGATTTATTTCGTAATTCTGAAAAGAGCAGAAAGAAAGAAATGGATAAAGTTACAAATGTTATTTTCCATTCCTAATAATAGGAGTAAATTGATTTTATTGAGATGCAACTAGTATTAATACAAGCTTCATAATAAAAATATCATATTTGTTTGTCAAATTTATTACAAATAAGTTAAAAAGTTGCAAATTCGCTTATATAGATCCAAAATATGCATGTAAAATAATATTATAATTTTCTTATATTGTACATGCATCTATCAATATTTAATCCATAATAATAATAAGTATATCGCTAACTTTTCTTGAACATTTCTCTGAAAATATTTTTAACTTACTATTATAGTCTCAATAGACAGGTAGAATAGAAAATTGCATAGTAAGGCAAAACATTTTTACATATGCAAAACGCATAAATATTGAAAGCACTCTTCGACTCCGTTACTACATATTGTAATATTTTATATAAAGAATGCATAGCAAATTTGTAGTGAAACTTCGTATATTTTAGAATAATTTAAAGGTCCTAAAAATTTTAATATGAATCAGTGCCAAGCTACATGAAAAGATTTGGTAAATAAATTATTATTAATAATTACAATATATTATATAAGGCATCTATCTATAGTAGAATAAGGAATAGAAATAAAGAAATAAAACTAAAAGAAAATTGTACAAAATATTTGAGAATCGTTTTTCAAGATCAAAATGTTCAGAGAAAACCATGCAGGTTGTCGAATGATGAAACGGACATCGTTTCATCTTGTTTGCAGAGATTTATCTATCAAGATTGACGCGCGCGTTTGTCGTATATGTATTTTTGTACACGAAAGAAAAAGAACAGCAGGGTCAGATAGATCGATACCGAGAAAGATCAATGCATATACTATCTAGTAAGAAATCACGAAACAAATACCACCGAGAAATCGTAGCATCGATCTTTTTTTTTCAAACTTGAGCACTTCACTCTATACATGGGATAAAGTAAAAAGATTTGCAAATGGTTTTGCACGTGCGAAGAAAGAAAACATAATTCGAGCTCGCAACGCTATATGCGAGTCTTTCACGTTAAAACAATGAAATATTAATATCGATGACAGCGGAGCGACAGAGGAGTTCCTTCCTCTTCGACCTATTTTTGTCCACGTCACCTTCGTTCTTATAATGCTTGGGTTAAGAAACGGAAGCGTAGAAAGCAGTTTCATCGATACGCTTGTTAGAGGGAAAATTGGTATTGACAGTCTGATGCAGGCTCATTGATCGATCTGACAGTCGCCGCGAATTTAATGCACCGATCGACACGGAAAGCTGTCCAGCAAGATCTATATCCCAGGATGTCAAGCAGACAACGTGCAGTAACGTGCACAAAAGAGCCTGGGGGAAACGAAATACACGAAGGCATTTACGATATCAAAGCCACCTGGGAACGCTGTTCTGAAATGGAACAAAACTTCGATGCTTCCTACTTTATTCCTTCTCTCTTTCCCTAAAAGCAGCTCGATTCCTCGGTTGCATCTACATCTCGCTTCTGCATACACATCGTTTCGATAAGGAGCTCACCCATGAGGAAGCGTCGACTTTGTGAATAAAAACAAGAACATACACAGACTCGAATTGAGAATCGGAAAGCCACAATAAAACAGGCTATCTCTCTTAATGGAATCATCGATGGCGGGAAAAATTTCCTACGGAACTCTGAAAGCTTGTCTGAAACGTAAACTTCTCGCACACACGTTGCGATTTTCGAACCAATAGCTGTATTTCTTATATTAACCGTGTTAATACAAGTTACGCACTTTATTTTTATATATACATAGATAGGTCAATCAATAAATAATCTTAAAGTTAATGGCATATAAAAAAACTCAAGTAATAAGACGTAAGCAGTAAGCAAACCAATATTTTGAATTTGCTACTGCTTATTGCTTTACGTTCTCTACTATGATTAACAGATTCGCTTACGGCTTATATTTTTTTTTGTGCGTAGTTTTAATTTCGCTCTCAACAATCAGGGTAAAAATTAAGGAAAATTAATTATTTATTTTCCAGCAAACACCAAATTACATGTATCTTGGTGTTGTATTAGTTGTAATTTCTCATTCAACATAATGGTAACATAACACGTGTGTTATATTAGAGTTATATTGTTGAACAGGAATTATTTTACATGTAACTTACGTGTGCTTGGCGATTCACTCATCCACGTATAATTTCAGAAGAACATTTCTTTCGCATTTTGACGAGAAAAATTTGAATTTAATATCTCAAATATACGTGAATAAGAAGAGAATTATTTAAACTATAATACACCCAAAGAAAAGGTTGCTTCGATTTAAAAAAAATTTCTTTGCTATACGATTAAAGAAAAAATTTCTTTGATTTAAACATTTATTTTTTTTAATCAAATAAAATTTATTTGATTTTAAAAAATTATGTTTAAATCCAAGAAATGACGTTCAAATTATAATTTATTTGAACAAAACAAATGTTATTTAATTTTAAAAAATAATGTTTAAATCAAAGAAATTTTTTCACAAATTAAAGAAATTTTTTTCTTTAATCATATAACTAAGAAACTTTCTTTAAATTGAAGTAACTTTTTCTCTGGGTATATAACAGATGTTTCTTCTTTGCTCGTTGTGCGAAAAGAGAAGGAATGTATCTCTAAATGGCTACGCGATTTCAATATGTCAGCAGATGTTCGAGGTTTAGCTCTCATAAAGGAAACTTAAAAAATAAAACAAATTTCTCGATATTTCGACAAAGGCAAAATAAACCGGAAATATCATAGGAGACGTATGTCGAATTTACACGGAAATGCAAAGCATGTACACTGGTGAATGCATTGAGAGGAATTTGTTTTACGATCAGAATCGTGATCATATATTTTGCTACTAATAGAAATCAGCAAGAACTGCGTTCTCTTCCAAAACAAATTAATAAAATTTACTCTCGAACATTGGTTAACGCCTATAATTTTGGAAGGACAAAAAATTATTTTGTAGTTAAAATAAGATAACGACATATTAAAGACAGGTATACAGAATTTCAATAATTTTATTAATTTAAAGAATTTTTAATTATGATGAAAACCAAAATTAATATTTAAAAAGAGGATAGAGGTTTATTTTTAAAATCATACAGAGAGAGTTCTTTTTTTTAGTCAAATTTGTTATAATTTATTATATTCTGTATATTTCACTGTATTCTTTGTCTTAAAATATGACTATTTCAGCATCACTGTATAATGGCTTTTCCATTTTGTAAAGGTTAAAGAATTCTTACAAAATGGATCTGAACAATCAATCTTATTTTTTTCACACACGTGTCTTCGCAAATAAAGTTTCTGATATAGTAACTGAGTTTGTCAGACGGCAAATAGACACGATCCTGAGATCAAAACATTTCAGAAACATACGTGTTCTTCGAGCTGAGAGAACAATCGCGACAAATGCACACACTGAGAAATTCTGACGGAAATGTCAAGAGAAGGAAGTCACAAAACGTAAAATATCACTCAATGACTCTCACTCGAACAAAGAAGTATGTTCTAAAAATATTCTTCTGTGTTGTCAGTAGAAAACACTTTTCATATACAGAATTCATGAAGTATTCACAGTTCCAAGAGCAAACCGATCATTTTATTGATTTAATGTTATTATTACATTTATTATACATTCCTCTATGTTGTATATAAATGCAAATAAAAAAAACAAAAACAATGATTTACAAAGTTTTTGTTTCTCAACGTCTTAATGATTCTTATATATTTTTAGCTCTTTCTGAAAAAGAATTGGTATAAATAATATTACATTTATATGCGCAAGAGAAAAGAACTTAAATAGCTGCCGAAAAAAAGAAATCTTCGAAAACGTGATGAAGAAAAAAAAGTTACGAACGGATGGAAAATATGATCTGAATCGTTAATGTTATCAAGGAAAGAAATCCAAAACTGTCATCGCCTGTACAATTGATTATACATTAAACTGTTTTATTTCAACAAATCCCAAACTTCAGGAATCAAGCAAAAATAGTCGCGAGATAAAATATGGATTAGAAAAATTAATTTAATTAAAAATACTCTGTTCAGCAAAAACATATCTGTCATAAACGCGAGATGTGACGAGCATTTATATGCATTTGCTTCGTAAAGTTGTTAAAAATATTAATTAAAAGTTTTGCTTTTAA